CCTTCTCTCCCTTGGACTGAGTCTCACCCTAAATACAGCTGATCGATGAAAACAAAGGCCCAAGGAACCCATGGATGCCAGCTGCTTTACTCCGAAGGTGCAACAAACACTGCCATATCCAACTGTAACCTTGGGGACCCTCAATCTGCTAAAAGAAGCCCCTGTTAAGGACATAAGAATGGATCAACGCGATCCAAATTGAGCCCTCCTTCAGAAGGATCTTCCGAATCAAAAGGAAGAAACAAGCTTCTTAGCTCCAACACAAAAGGTCCTTGAGCCCAAGACCCTTCCTCCAACTTCAGGCGACAATTGTTAGATTAGCTAATCCGAGCACCATTAGCAAGCTTGTCCTCACCTTTTCAAAAGAACTAAGTGCACATTTAATTTGTCCTCTTAATGACAGCCCCCGACAAACAAAGCTGCCTCTTCCAGAAATTATGAAGACTATATAGAATAGCTTGAATTAACTGCAATCTCCTCGCATAAGAAAGCTTCCTTGATTTCCAGCTTTGAAGCTTAGCAGAAATCTTCTCAAGAAGAGGAGAACAATCACGGACGGACAACCTCTTAGAAATAAAAGGAATCCCAAGGTATCTAACAGGGAAACATCCAACCCAATACCCGTCGAGTCCAACACTGCCTGCAACGTGGAATTGTCAACCTCAAACGAAAAAATCTCCGACTTTGCTAGATTTATATGCAAGCAAAAAAAAACCCATAAAAAACCTTCATAAACTTCTACACACCAATAATAGCCTCATAGGTACCCTTAGTAAAGGTTAAACAGATCATCCGCAAAGCATAAGTTAGTTAGGCGAACTCTGCAACACTTAGGATAATAGCTAAACATCCCAAAGTCAGCAACCCTATCTAAAAGCCTGGGCAACACATTCATGGAGAGAACAAAGATATAGGGGGATTGGGGATCCTCTGCATCACCCCCTTAGCTCCCTCAAAGAAACCAACCAAACCACCATTCAAAGAGATAGAATATCGGGGGTGGTCAAGCATTCCCGAATAAAGCCAATAAGCAAAGGAGGAACCCCCAAAGCAGTCAAGACCGCAAGAACAAAGTCCTAATCAACTGAGCCAAAAGCCTTCTGAAGATCGATCTACATTGATAATTAGGGAGAAAGGGGGACTCTACCATACCCCTGCTGTCAAGCTCTTAAGCCATAATGGTGTTATCAAGAATGGACTTCCCAGGAACAAACGCACTCTTGGTAGCAAAAATAGTCCTCGGCAGCAAGGACTTGAGCCTTCGAACAATAATCCTAGTGATACACCTGTAAACCACAGAGTAACAAGAAATCGGTCGTAAATCCTTCATATGCATCGAATTGACCACCTTAAGAACCAACACCAAAGTCATCGCATTAAAGCCCGAAAGTATCTTTGAGGGGGGGGGGGACAATGAACAACGTTAACAAGATCAACACCCACAATCCCTCAAGCAACCTTGAAAAATGAGAGGTGTAACCTTCAGACCCCGGGGCCCTATCCGACCCTGAGCATTATTGTTATTTATTTCTTTAATTTATCATATTTGTTAAAAATCAGTAAATTTGTACTATATACATGATTCTTTGTTCAAACTTCTCGCTATTGGATTAAATAATTATATAATTTGTGATTTAATGACACAGCATATTGTACTTTAACATTGATTATTAATATTAACTTTCAGATTTAATCTTAAACAATCATTTTTTTTTCATTGTCAATCGTGATTTATTGATTATCTAGACTATTAGTTCTAGAAATACATTTATCATTGTCAAAGCGAGAAGTTATTAAATAGTTCTATATAATATACAAATAATCAATAGATAATATTAAAATAACCTTTTCAGTCATTAAAATTTTGATGTTAAAAAATAATTATTAGACATTTTGAATTGTTTCGAATGGTCATTACACGATATAAAATACTGATAAGTTTAATGATCCTTTTATAATAATTTGATAAGTTTAATGATCATTTTATAATAGTAACTTGTTTTAAATTATGAAAATTATGACCAATATGATAAAATGTATAAATTTTAAGGACTAAAACCATTATTATACCAGGTCACATCCCCATTTTGTCTAATATTTAATGACAAAGTGATTTTTTTTGTAATAATATTTTAATTGAGTTACATGTTTGTTATTAGGCACATGGGTCATCTACGATCGGACACAAAAAATGCATGTGATACCATGCCCACGATTGGAAGCATGAGACATCCACCATAGCAGTCTTACTATATTTTGTAGACCGACACATTTCTCTAAATAAAATGCCAACACCGCAGACCCCTAGCTTAATGTGTCGGCTTCTTCAAAATCAATCAAATGACGCAACCATATATGATACACCTGATTCCGAGATTTTTCAATCATCAATATCACTCCAATGAGTTGTAGAATATATGCCCGACAAAATGCTTTTGCGTCATCCTCTGAATAATTTTTGGGCAACTCTTTAAATTCACTTTTCAGGCACGGTAATCTTATTCGACCACTGTTGAAACTGGGCGGCGTTTTTCCAAGATACTCCATGCATAGACCCCTAATCATCATCTGCCACACAACATATGGCAGTTCTATCTACAGGTAGCCCGAGTTGCATTGCGACATCCTCCAGTGTAATCGTGCACTCTCCATATGGTAGATGAAACGTGTGTGTCTCTAGTCTCCATCTCTCAATGAATGCAGAAATCAGGACGGGTTCAAGTTTACAACTTCCTTTAACTTTTGCTAAGTAACTGAATTCAACCATAAACAAATATGGTCAGCTACACCTCGATGTTGTCATCTTCTGATTGCAAATAAAAACTTCTAAAATACGTTTATTTTCCTAACAAATAAATTATGATCATTAAAATTTAATTTATATATGTGTTATTTAAATAAATTCTAACAATTTAAATCATATATAATTGATTCCATAATATTTGTAAATTTAAAAAGAATGTAGTTATGTATTCTTACCGTATCCACAAAATGACTCGAAATATGTTCAACATCCACCTTTCATTTTTTTACATGCAATTAAAACATTCACTCAAACGCGTCTCCTTCTCTCAGGTAAGGTGCGTTTCACTAGGCGTGCCTTACTATTTTCTCCAGTAATGCACGTTCACTCAAACGCGTCTCCTTCTCTCAGGTGTTAGATCGGAAAATTTCAGACTCGATGATTGATCGGTAATATTTTATTTTAAAGGTGATTTTTTGTCAAAAAAACATGATAATTCAATGTTCTCAATTTTTTAATCTAATAACAATTTAAGTCATTATAAATTTAATTATTAGACATTATTTTTTGAGTTACAAGTTTAAATACTTAATAACTCATTGTATTTTCTTAAAATGTTTAATATTTCAGCCTCTGTCCATATTATTATCTGTGCGACTAAGGGAAGTCGCGTTGCACTCCCTGCAACTCATGGAAGTTTCGCCGACGCATTGCAAATTATCAAATTGGAACTTAAATTATTGAATTATCATGAATGGGTTGTACATATTATTTGTAAATTATGAAGTTTGAATTATCAAATTATTCGACAAGTTTGGATCAATGCAAAACTCTTATTGTAAATCAGCATACATTGTCATATTGGATTGCGTCTCCCTGCATTGACCCAATCTTTTATAGGCAAAAATTTTATATGAATTCGGGGAGTCCTATTAAGTTTAAAAGTCGCATTTTTTTATTCACATTATTAAAAAAAATTCCCATCAAAAATGAAAAAAGAAATGATATGTTTATGAGAAAAATGATATAAATTTTAATGAAAAGAAACACGTATCATACATATTAATATTAACACAGATCAGGTTGGGCAATGACAAAAACTTTGCTTTCTAATCTTTTAACAAGTATATGATTCAAATCAATCAATTGAAAATTATACATAGATGATTATAAAAGGATAATCTTGACAACAACAGAACACTGATTGTTATTCTTTCTCTGTAAGCTTGATTTGTTTGTTTTCAATGGAGAAAAAACAGAAGGGGTCAGGAACGGAATTCCGAAACATGGAAAGAACATCCCCTGGAAAACATACAAAAGAGTGAAAGACCTGGGCATTGCTTTTGAGACGGAATATTACAAACAGTAGGAGAGGGAATCATGTTGACTCACACTGTATCTTCACCAACCTCACCATATACCTTCTTCGTTTAAAAAAACCAAAACTTTACTAATAATTGTACACCTTCACTTTCTCACTGTCTTTCTTCTGCTGCTGCTGCTTTATCGTTTGCTTTCCCCGTGGTGGTAAGGAGAGAAAGGAAAATCTCGATGATCCTTCTTTAATTTTGGGTTTTGTTTGTTTTTCTCGAGGGGTTTTTTGTTGTTTGATGGGTTTTTATTTTGTTTGGTTTCATAGAAAACCGTAGGAAAAGGAAAGAAAGTTGGGAATCTTGCGACATCCTTCATTGTTCTACTACAGTTTTCTTTAACGGGGACTTAACGTTACCCCATGTTAATTCCTTTTGTCTGCTAATCTCTGTTAATGGGTTGTTTTCATACTTTATTTTTGGTTGATTAAGCTTTTTTAGCAACTCTGTTTTCTTGGGATTTGTAATGTGAAAGAATTTGGAGCTTTGGGTTATCTTAATCTCTTCTGCTTCAGCTAAAATTATTATGCTTTCTCAGTAGTTTCAGTCCCTACGGAATTTGGATATCAAAGAATCTGTCTTTTTTTTTTCTGGGGAAATTAAACCATCAGCTTGTTTTCTTTCATTTTTTAAAACATTTCTCCTTCACTTTCTCTGCAACCAAACATATCTTTGATTCCTTCTCTTCTTTGTGAACCCTCCTTTAGTGTAACTTTTTTTTATTAAATGCTCATGAGAATATCTCTAACTTTCCTTTTTTGTAACATAATGTTAAAATTTTAACTAACACACCACTGAAATCAATGGTCTGTGTGCCTTCATCACTTTCTTTTGTTTTTCCTTAGCATCTGATTAGCAGTTATTGTGTTAATGATTCCCTTTTTAACTTTTTCTTTTTACAAATTATGTATAGGCATTTCCATTGTCCATACTGATGGAGTCTTGGAGCTATGGTTCTGAAGGAAAAAGCCTTCTTTTTACTGATGAAATAGATTTGGATGCTTTTGCCAGAAGCAGAAAAGCAATGCTGAGTTGGGACCTCAAGCCTTCTTCTTCTGATATTGAAGTTGTTGAGAGCATGGATTTCATGGATTTTGGTATTGCCGACATGAACAAGAAGCCCTTTTATGGTAACACCAGTATGGGGATTTTTGGAGCTGAGTTTGGTAATGATTCCACTGCTAAGAGTCTAGTTTCCCCTTCTTGTATGGTTTCCACCAGTTCATATTTTGGTGAAGAGGAATCTGGTTCCAAGCATTGTAGTTCTTTGATTGACTCCAACAGTCAAGACTCTTCACTCATTGATTTGAAGCTAGGGAGATTGGCTGATTACAATGATGAACATGCTGGGAAATTCTCCAAGGAAACCTCTGTCGTTTCTCCGGCTTTTGTGCCGAAGAAAGCGCGGTCGACGAGCTCGATTTCCCATACTCCTTATTGTCAAGTTCATGGTTGCAACAAGGATCTTAGCTCTTCAAAAGATTACCACAAGAGGCATAAAGTTTGTGAGGCTCACTCCAAGACAGCCGAAGTTATTGTTAATGGAATTGAACAGAGGTTTTGCCAGCAGTGTAGCAGGTTGCTTGCTCTCTTTACTATCTTTTGCCCTTCAATTTTTGATATGTCTCTTTGTGAAATTGAATGTTTATCTTAGCCTGTTTGTAGTTCAAGATCATATTGTTTAACGATTTTTCATATTGTTTAATTGTTGTTGCTACATCAGGTTTCATTTACTGGCTGAATTTGATGATGATAAGCGCAGTTGTCGTAAACGCCTAGCAGGGCATAATGAGCGGAGAAGGAAGCTTCATTTCAATACCTTTTCTGGAAAATCACATAAGTTGATGCATTCGCATCAAGGTATGAACCATCTCTTACCTTTTACATCTCCTGAAGCTCATACATTTGAAGTTGAAGATATAAACTCAAACTTGTTCCGAGGCAGAACCAGTCAATGTAATTTAAGCCCTTCACTCTTGATTTCATTGGAATAGATAAGTAACTTATTTTCTGCCAGGCTAGGTCTATGGAAACATTTTGTGCAAGCCCTAGAAAACTAGTATGCGCTAACGTGGCTAGGTCTAAATTGGCTTTACAAGATTCATCTTGAGAATGTCAGAATATGAAAAACCACAAGAGAAATCTACAACTGAAACATTTTATCTTATCCAAAGTCTAACGTGTTCATATATGCTTTTCAGTACAGGTTTAGTTTGATTTGCAGGCTAAAAATAGAAATACAGAGTTATAGCAACCGGATTGTCCTAGCTTGGTTTGCTTCATTAGATTGCTATAGAATTTAATTTTGCAAAATTTTAACATATTGGTAACCTATGTGGACTCTCAGATGCCAAGTTTTTGGGGACGTCTATATCGAAAGGAACAACTTTCTTTATCCCAAACGTATTTCAAGTTGACTTTCTTCATCCCGAAAGACACTCGTACACTAATCAATGCGAGAAGGTTAAATTTGAAGAGAAACCAATGTTTAATTCCCGGTCGGCAATACCGATTGCAAATGGGCAGTTGCAACCATCATCTTTCTTTCATGTGCATGACAGTGGGAGACAACATGTTCCTGGAACATTTTCATTGGCAACCGAAGATTTCGATGCTCCTAGTGTAGCATCAACAGTTGAAGAGTTCTCTGGGGTTTCACGCTCAGACTGTGCTCTCTCTCTTCTGTCAGCTCAATCCCAGGATTTGTCAAGCCATGCGACAGGGATTCAAATGACAAGGCCCTTGATTGATCAAGCCAGCAATGCCCATCGGAGCTCCGAGAAATCTGCTGCGAATACCTTTTATTCATGTGGAATGAACCCCATGGGAGTAAGCCATTCAAGCTCCGTTGCGGTCTCTGATGCTGGTCATACCGCTAATTTCGACCGTCAAGTTCAAAACTCGAATCTTTTGAGCACCAGCTATTGCCTTTCTCCTGAAAACGAAACCACTGTCGATTTGATTCAACTTTCAACACATCTCCAAAGAGTGGAGCAGCAACGGAACTCCTTGCAAATAAAGCAGGAAAACGAGGACCTGTTTTATTTCCTCACCACATAATTAGTACGAGAGGGAGGAAGGTATATGCGCAAACACCCCTGCTTTCAAATGTTCTCCACAAATCTAACAATGCTCTATTCTTCTTTCTGGTTTACAGGAAGAGTTGCAAAAGGTACATTTCACTATAGGCTGTTAGACACTCCAAAACCATTTTAGCACATCCCATTTCCAGTCGGTATAGAACAACGCAAATTCTGGACGTTGTAACTGTAAATTGGTGCAAGTTCAGTAGTATTTGTTCTTTCCTATAGTTTCTCTGCAGATTCTATGTAGTTAAAGATGGGTTAATGTTCATATATGATACTATTCGAGACATTGTTAATCATCCCATCACTTTGGTTGCACTGAAGTGACAATGTTCAAAGGGACAACCTAAGGGTCAAGTTGGAATAAAGATTCCCCCACAAAAAAAGCTTAGAATTTGAATCATTTCTGCACTAATATATATATATATATATATATAAGTGGTTGACGTTGAGTGGAAGATGATATGCTTGTTACCGTACTGCATGCATATCTCTGTTAAAATATTTCGTTTGCTGCTTTATTGCAGGTTGATATTAATTTAGTTCATGGAGTTTTGACTAAAGGTTATTACTTTAGAACAAAAAAGATCAAGCCTTTTTAAAAATTATTCAAAGATATGATATGCCACTTATTAAAGATATGATAGTTTTTAACACGATACGAATGCTTAATAAAGATTATTTGTGTGCCAAGTCTTTGAGCATTGTCAATGGAGAATTCAACTATCCCACTTATTAGAAAACATTTATTTCAAGATGATTATACGAACTAACTGAATTAAACTGTCTATAAATATTTCATCCTCGTTTTTGGGTACAAAAAGCAACACTTATTAGAGGAAGCTTTGGGTTTGATTCATTCATGGTAGTTTGAAATCTTAAGATGCAATCCCTTGGGTGCTAAAACTCTTGGGAATTGAAGGATTTCAGTTCTACCAACCTCCTCCCACCTGCATTTTTCAAACAAAGATAAAATCCCATTAAAAATATAATTTGACCTATGATCAATATGAAAATCCAGCTGTGGACTAACCTGTAAGTGGTGGCAAAATAGTGGAGGAATATGCAAATCTGTAGTATCCCCAAATCCTTTCCGGGACACAGCCTGTTGCCTGCTCCAAATATGAAGCAGTAATTGTGAGACTCATAGTCCTTATCCTGCAAATTCAGTTCATATGCTCATAAGCTCTGCAATAAGGTGCTCCATGAAATGCTAAATGTTCATCAAGCTTATAGTTCAACTCACTAGCCATCTCCACGGGTTGAAGGTGAAAGGCTCTGGATAAAGGAATGGATCATAGTTTATTTCCCTTACATACACATATATTCTCCATCCTTTTGGAATGGTAAACCCTGTCAAGCAACAACACATGAAAAAAAAACGTTACGGTGCTCGAACTCTTATTTTTCTGTAAGTATTTGTGTTCGACACTCGTGTCTGTCGACGTACCGTTCAAGACCACATCATCTGTCGTCCTTCTCATTAGTCCATTAACAACTGTAGCTAACCTTGAGGTTTCATATATCACCTGTGCATAGGCAACATGATTTGATTAGTTTATATAATGCCAATGGAAGCTGGTTTTGCTAGGAGTCATGAATTTGCTTACAGAACGGGTGAAGTTCATGGACTTGTAATCCTTCCAATCGATCGCTTCTCCCGGTTTCTTCTTTTCTCTGATTGCGAAATGTTCATCCTAGGCAAGTAATAGACCGGAATCATTAAGAAGAACCATATGATTAAGAAATTCGGTCGAGTAATCAAAGAAATTGTCGCCTCACTCGTAGTTCTCGAAGAGCTTTAGGATGATCATGGAGGTACTTGATGGCCATCATCAAAGTAACTGAGACGGTTTCGTAACCTGAGAACAATACGATTATTATCGAATCAATTATCTCCTCATCAGTGAGACTGTACTTTGAATCTTTGCTATGGAGAAGAAGGCGGTAAAGAATATCATCATAGGCCTTTGAAGAGGATCTTCTTTCCTCCATTAACTGTTTCAACATCTCCACAACTCTTTTTCTTCCCTGCATAGAATCACATACTGAAAAACATTAGGCAAATTTCTCAAGAAAAATCATATCGAAAATGTTCGAAAAAGTCTTTCGAGATTATACCTGCAAACCATGATAGTAAGTTGTCCCCGGAATGTTTATCGGCAGCGAAAGCGCTCCAACGACTAACTTATCCAGCGCTGGCTTGAACATCTCGTAGAGTGAAGCCGGCTCCCTGTCTACCATTTGCCTGAATGCTATCGACAATGCCATCTGATAACCGATCAAGATGCATAAACAAAAGTTGCTTGCATGACAAGTAATATAAACAAATTCAGCATGTTAATCTGCAAACCTCCTTGGTTGTTTCTTGAATGTCTACGGTTTTTCCATTCCAGTTGTTAAGGAAAGATCTCATGAAGGTATCGATCTTCGGCAGCAGATCCTCTTTCATCGCGAGAGGACCAATGAGGGACACCATTGAACCTCTGATACGCTTGTGAGAAACGCCATCCACGGCTGCGATGTTGCGTCTCCCAAGTATTTCGAGCATGGATTCAGGGTAACCAGGGATCAAACCTTTGCCTTCGTTGAAAAGGATGTATCTGTTGAGCTCGGTATCCATGCAAACAACAGTCGGACAACCCAATATGTGTGTCTTGAACAAATTCCCATACCTGTTTCAAAAACAAAAATGTAATAATGTCTGCAATGCAACAACATGGAAAAGATATATTAACCATGCATGTTATCTTACTCGAACTCGGATGTTTAACACTTTATCGAAGTCCGAGTAACATAACATGAATGCTATATAAGAGGAGAGAGTGCAAACGAGTTGAAAAGACATACTTAGCTCGCTGCTTTCTCATGAAACTCGGTCCAGATTTGATGAACTCAGTGGTCTCCCCCAAAACTGGCCAACCCATGGTCCCAGGAGGCAAACCCTTTTTCCTACTGTACCTTATCTCATTCCATTTCAACAGGGCAAAGCTAATGGTGAGCACCAAAGGAAGCAGGCTAGCAACTACTACTAACACAAAGATCGCCATTGATGCTTCCAAGAAAGAACCCTCAAGAGGAGTGGTGCAAATGGGAATGGCTTGCTTTCAGGCTTTTAAATAATGTGCAGAAGGAGTTCTACAAATGGCAATGCCACCATTAGGCCAACAATGCACATACCTAATATGGAAATTATATATCTGTACTACCCAAATTTTGGTTGCCTTTGGATTCAATACCAAATAGGGCTCCTTCATGGTGTTTAATACTTATATTTTATTTTGGTATAACTTGATCCTAATATCATTATTTTGGTAAAAATATTTGTTTGTACTCATCATGTTAATATGAGATTTTTTTGTATCGGAAGATGTGTTTTTAAGAAAAATTCACAAGAACATTTTATCGAAATAGTTGGATTAATTAATTACCTATTGAAAGTAGAGGATCAAATTATGTCGAATTAAAATATAATATGACTACATATCAAATTTGAGCATATTAGAGGGATCTAAGCTATAAACTCATCAAAGTGAACCATTGGAAGCTTCTAAGTTTATAGTAGATGTATTTAATTAGTTTCTTTTCAATCATCATCCATGCAATTATTAGTTGATTTCTTGAAGCTAGTCAGCTGATGTCTGGTAATTTTTTAGGGTAAATTATGTGTTTAGTACCTAAACTATCAATTCTGATCTGTTTTAGTACCTAAACTTTCGATTTTTTTAAAAACATACTAATTTTTGTTTTATTTTAATATCCATGTATAAATTTAATGTTAAGTTTTGAAAGAAAAAAATGATAGTTTAAGTGCTAAATGCATAGTTTACCCTTTTTTATCTTATCTTGGAGCAATCATGGAGCTTTCAAAACTCTACTTTCAATCATTGATCTTTAAAGAAATGTTTACTTTGATTATTGGTCTAACTATGCCCCCGGTCCCTGTACTCTTCGAACTTCTAAAATTTAATTCCTATAAATAAAAGGATTCAACTTTTATTTCCCCCTCCTTACAAAAAAAAGATTCAACTTTGCCATCATAAAATGAAAAGAGAGGAAGAAAAAACCCAAAAATGGTGAACATGTAACAGAACAAAAGGGGAAAATGAAGTAGGAACTAATCGAGGTTTGAAAAGCCTCAACCACAAACAAGCATACGCTTTGGCACGGAACAAACTTGACCCTACTCGGAAAATTGGAGACCGTCCAGTTTAGATGCAGCCGGTTTGTCCAAAAACCATACCAACTTCCCTTTCGTCAGTTGGACCAACCCTGCAGGCAGCGACGGGCTGTCATGTCCAATGTTATCGATTGCCAAGTGCACAGCCTCTGCTTTTCTCTCACCCTTCACGACGATTGCAACGTTGGATGCTGAATTGATGACAGGCAAAGTGAACGTTATCCTCTCGAGTGGTGGTTCGGGGGAATCGGTGATGAAAGTCACCCATTCGTCCTTCTCGTCGAGCACTGCATGATTAGGAAATAGTGAGGCAACGTGACCATCGTGGCCCATGCCAAGAAGGATAAGGTCAAACTTGGGGCAGTCACTAATGTCGGAAACACTGACCGTCCTCGTTTTAACTAGCTGCCGGATAACGAATGTGTATTTGTCGGCAGCCTCCTCTGTTGTGACCGAATCATTAATAGAATGAACATGGCTGGGAACAATCGGCACCTGCAGCACATACAAGGCATAAGTCGAACCAACATATAGTAATATGGCTTGAACTTGACCAAAGCATAATTTTTTCAGTGAACCTATCCATTGATGAAAGCAATGCTAAATCATAATCGACTTTATTGTGAAGCTAACAGAGAGTAAGTCCTAAGATTCTCAAACTTGTCCGATAAAAAAATACGAAAAATTCCGTATCGGTTCCGACGACATATACACTCTTCATCTTTTTATAGATGAGTCTACAAAAACTGCAACAGGTGAACGAGAGTTTCACAGCAAGGCCTTTAGCTTTTCAGAACCATCAATCATCTCGGTTATTTCGATCATATCAGATGCATGCCTCATGCTACCCTCGACAAGCCAATCGAGTTAGTAACAGGAAGAAGTTAAAAAGTTCTTAGAACAGTAGGACCACCGTAACAAGTTCTTCAAAACAAGTGTTTAAGCCCTCCCGTGTGCTGGCACTGCCCTCTTAAGAAAGGGGAAAGAAAGGAACACACAGTTGCATTATGCATTTGTTTATATGCCGTGGTGAGTCAAAGATGGCACCATGGACAAACAAAAAAGGAATTTCAATCGATGCGAACCTACTGGATCGTATCATCAAGTGGCAGGATTGACCATATAAAACCAAACTTCCAGTGTCAAAGATGATAACCTCAACACAGTCAAGAAGAATTCAACCAGAAAAGATCAGAATCGCTGAAAATAAGAAATCTCGAAACCATTACTGAATTATCAGCTAGTGGGATATCAACTAATATACCAGTTAACATAAGCCTGTTCCAATCACAGCGAACAACATCACAGATAAGGAATTCAAGCTCAAATAGCTTCTAGAAAAGGCTAATCTATGCTTTGCATAGCAACAAACATCATATTGTCATCAAAAGTCCCCCTAATTCGGTTGTCCTAAAGCAAAAGGAAACGAAAGAACATCGAATGAAGTACGAATCCATATACGAACCTTGGAAAGAAGGCCATCCTTTGCAAGCTTATAATTGCTATCGGAGTGGCTTTTCGCAACAACGCGTTCGTCCGCCCAAAATATATACCATTTGCCCCAGTCTACAGTCTTGTTATAAGGTGCTTCACAGAGTTTTCTGTATCCCAACACACACAAAAATGAACTGTAAAGAACACCAGAAATCAAAGAAACAAAACATGGGGAAGTAATGGATTGATGATACCCCAATAAGCCAATTAGAGAACCACCAGACAATGCAATAGCAAAGACACCCCTCTCTTTCACTGCAACCTCTGATAACTCGGCAATATAGTCAGCCAACTCAGTCCTTAACTCATCCAAATTCTCAAGAATCCTCAATTCTCCTCTATGATCACTTTTAATCCCAGAAAGTGCCATGCTTTTCACAATTTTACCAATTCTAACACAAACATAAATTTTAAAAAAGGAACAATAATCAGAATTGAGTACATAATAGAGACAAGAACACATAAAATCCCAGTTAAAAGCAATTTATCCACCAAAACAGTCCAAGAAGAACAATGAAGAGAAATGTAGCCATTAATCCTTGTAGCATCACAACTTCAGATCATGCTAAATACAGAATCTATGTTTCAAAAGTTGGAAAAAAACCACCACCAGGTGATAAATAGCCAAAAGTCTATCACTGTAGGCACAGAGTTTAAAAACTTGAAATTGAAGAGATGATCGTCACAATCAAAGATCAAGCAAAAAAATCAAAACTTTAGCTAATTTGGTATTCAACCAGATAAATTTCATAGTGAAATCAGTTGTACTCGAACATAAAAGAAAATAAAAAATCTAATTAAAAACTGAAATTTAAGAAAGGGGAATGCTTACAAAGAAGAACAAGCAAGAAAGAAGAGAGAGAAGGGTACTTGCAGAGAAGCAAGAATGAAGAAGGTAGAAGGGTAATCTACAACAAATGAAATAATAATAATAATTATATAATAATAACACAAAATAATAAATAAATAAATAAATAAAATAACTGTTACAGTCTTACAGAGAAGAAGATGAGGAGAATTCACTTTCTGGGTTTCCACGTGAACCAATGATATATAGGGAAAACACACGCAAATACTTAAAAAAAGTCTCTTTCTCTCTATATTTGAAATAAAAAAAATATTTTTTCTTCAAAAACTAACAAACCCAAAATTAAAATTTATGTCTTTATCAATAGATCTCTTTGCTTATCCTTTTAGAGAGAGAGAGAGGGGATGAAGCATATAAAAGGGTAAATTATACTAGTGACCATCCAATTATAGTTCCTTTTCATTTTAACTATCATTTTTAAATTATTGTCAATCAGGCCACTTAACTATTTAAATGCATTCAATCATATCATTTGCCGTTAACAGTTAACGGAAGTGCTGACGTGATAGCTAGTAAAATTGATATAATTCATATTTGGTCACTCTTATTTATATATTCTATTAATTTGGTCTCAGTTTTAATAAATTAAAATAAAATTAATCTTCCAATCGAATGTTGCAATGTGTCACCATTGAATTTGATGATTAAATTTATTTTAATTTAATTTAATATATTTATTTATTTTAATTTAATGTATTTATATTCTACCAATCTTAAAAAAATTAAATAATGAGAGAGAGAGGGCCTTTGAATCAAACCTGGGTGACTTGGGATTAAAGGGGAAGCTCAACCACTAGACCAAGCTAATTGTTTGGCTATATATTGATTGCATGTAATATATATCTTATGCCTTAGTATAATCTTAGATTCTTAATATTATATATATCTTAAAAAATATTATATATATCGTAATTTTTTGATATATATATCTATAAAACTTAAATTAACATCTTAATGTTAATTACATGTTTTGTTCAAATCTTAACTAAAATAAAAAATTATATATTTTAGTCTTAAATTCATATTTTATTTTTTAAATTTTTATCTTAAATTAATATCTAAAAAAATATAAATTCATATTAATTTAAGATATAAATTTAAAAAATAAAAATATGAATTTAAGGCTAAAACATATAGTTTTTTTACTTTAGTTAATTTTTGAATAAAACATGTTTTTAAAATTAAGATGTTAATTTAAGTTAAGTTAAGATATATATAATATTAAGAATATAAGATTACACTACGGCGTAAAATATATATTACATGCATTCAATTTATAACCAAACAATTTGCTTAGCCTAGTGGTTGAGCTTCCTTCTTTAATCCTAAATCAACTAGGTTTGATTCCAAGGCCCCTTTTTTGGTTCTTTAATTTACTTTCCACCATGGTGACACTTGACACCATCTGATTAGAAGATTAATTTTATTTTAATTTATTAAAATTGGGGCCAAATGATAGAATATATAAAATGACTAAATATATAATTATATCAATTTTACTAGTTGTCACATTAACATTTTCATTAACTATTAACAGTAAGTGGTCTGATTGAGAAGAATTCAAAAATAGTGGTTAAAATGAAAATAGACTATAGTTGGGTGGGCACTGATACAATTTACCCCAGAGAAAACCCGTGTCCTAAATACTCTGCTATTATTGCATATAAATTGGCGCTTCTGTTTTAGTTAATATTGCCAAAATAATACGAAATTAATTAAATAATTAAATTCTGATGCCATTTTTGGAAAGAAGAAATCAGGGAGAGATTGAGACAATGTTATATTAAAAACCCCAAATAAATCATTATTTAAAGAAATAGAGCCCTCCAAAATTATTTAGAAGAATAACTTTCAAATCGTTCACATTGGACAACCTCACAGCCTGTAAATCGAGTGTTAAATCTTCGTACCATTCAACTGGCGAGATAAATCCGATGTGGGTACACTTTACAGATAAGTCAATAAAACAATTGGATAAAATGATTTCGCGTATTGCGAAGTGCGAGGTAGTCTTTATGATTCAAAATATCGCGAGATTTATGGGAGACCCCACGGCCTACAAAGCACGAGGTTCCTTCGATTCTCTACCTTCCCTTTAGTGTTTATAGTCTTGTTTGTATATTATTTCCGGGTAGGAAACTATTTTTTTTAATTTTTAATTATAAACGCATAGTGTTGCAATTTATCTTTAAGGTGACTATAATATCTACATATATAAGATATTTTAAGCGGGATAAAATGACGTTGAAAATGGTTAGAAATTATGGTTTTGTGAAGGAAGAATAAAAATGGTTTGATAAACATATTGGAGTGTTATTTTTTGCTTGTAAATATGAGTAATATGTGTTGTTAATTAAAAAAAATGCAAAAAGTCCATTTAATTTATGTGTAGGCTTGAACGATTGAGACATTTGTTCTTCGCGTGTCCGAGATTCCTACATATGGAGCATAATTTTGGTTGTCTGATTTTTTCTTGGTGTTCGACCAAATCCTCGTCACAAAAAATCCGGGTTGACCGCGGACGACCGATTTTTTTGTCGTAGTGCATAATTTGGTTGTATTGTAGCTTCATCATCAGCTTCATCCGGATCCCATTCATTTCCAATGGGAGGGAACTCATATTCATAAACCTTGAGTATAGTTTCAAGTAAGTAAACCCGATCAATGAATCTCATGTAAGGTATCTGAACAGAAGAAGCAGCAACAATGGTGTGAGCACACATGTATTTGAAAGTTTGGAAAATTTTGCACTCGTATATTTTTTCTCGTAAATTAACCACGTATACGTTGTGTTGTATGCCTTCCAATGGCCTCACAAATTCTGATACATGGAATAATGATATTTCGCGAGAGAATCATATGACACTCATCGCGTTGGAATGTTTGCAATTTTTTTAGGAGGTCTAGGTGGATTTGGTGGCCACCTGTCATCTATTCAGTTGCTTGCCTTCCCAAGGTTGCGAAAAGGGTTGCCAGTCGATACTATGTTGCTTTGACAACAGATGTGATAGGCAAATGGTGCACTCCCTTTAGTGATGAATTTATTACCTCAGCCAAGTTCATTGTCATGTGATCATACCGTCTACCCCCACCAAATGATCAAAGTCATTTCTCCTTTAGGATTCTAGCAAGGTAGTTGAAGCTCTCATAATTCATGTGTCTCAGTTCCTACATCAGATCCTCAAACTCACGTACGAACTGTGTGTAACCTATCAATAAAAAGTGGAACAATTAATTTAAAATAATTTTTGTAAAGATGTCGTAAATCGAAAAAGGTAAAAGACGTATCCATTCAAAGCACCATTAGACGCTCATCTTGACTATTAAACTTCTGCAAATAGTTTGCGGTAATATGTCGTAAACAATACTGGTGATAAATATTGGGAGGTTGGCAAGACAGACCCATACGCTGAAGTGCGTATTTGATATCAGCGCCTCTGTCAGAAATAAGACAAATCTCATAATCTCTATCCTGCATCACATGTGATAGAACATATGTTTGTAAGTTTGTAAGAAAGAATTTCTAAGAGTCGATATATTCATTTTCGATAATTACGAAGGTGATGGGAATAGTTTTTCAGTTGTCGTCTTGTGCAACTGTCAATAATATTATTTGAGTGTATCAACTATATAACCAAGTGCCTTCGATTTGAAAAACCAGCTTATAGTGTCGGAATACATTAATGCATTGCGGAAAAATCCAAAATAGTCGGTAGAATTGTCAGACACCTTGTACAATACGATAATTTTCGTACGTCAGGATTGTTTCTAATTTCACAACTGTTCCCGTAATGTGTTTCTGCATCAGTTTAAGCCATTGTCATAATTCTTTGTATGATTTCTCCCATTGGTCGAACAATTTTTGTTGGGCCCTATTCATTGCATACAATACTTTATGGTAGTCAATCGTGTACCCGTATAGCAATGTAACTGAAGAAATACAGGTCGCAACCGTAACACATAAATTTGATTTGAGAAGTGGAATGAAGGCTTCAGAAAGCACGTGTACATCCAAGTTACGATGATCTTGATTTAGGATGTAGGTGGTGCATGTATGTGGTTGAACGTATTTTGTGAGTTTCCAAAGGTTGTTCATCATCTTCAACCGCAATACACGAACCCTCCAATTACATCCCTGCTTCTTGTGGAGACATTCAACGATATACTTATCCGCGTCAGCTTTTTCACAGTTGACGTGACAAAGCGACGTATGTTGTAGTCCTTGATTGCAGCCACAACTTGTTCTTTTGTTCTAAAACTCATTCGTAAAAAGAGTAAATAAAATTGTCAACTTACCAATAAACAAATCAAAATAAATAATGAAAAATTAAAACATTATATTAACCTGAAAACCATTCCAACATAGAGATCACCATCATTACGTTGATTGTATTCCTCAATATGTGGGAATTGGGAAAATTCTGGAGCATTGAATGTTTCATATCAATTGTTGTAAAATGCATTGGTGGCTCGTAATAAGAAATAGATGTTGTAGCATATAAAACCATTATAGTTGCGCTGTATTCTTCGTTGTTTTATGTTTCTGGTGGCATGTCAAGGTCTTCTGGTCCTTCATAAAAGGGGCCTAACTCATCACCATCGGGGTCGGGCTCTCTTATTGGTTCTTTATCAGAATGATCCCCCTCAAAGCGAAATAGTTCGTCCTCGTTTAACTCAAAGTGAGTCACTGCTGCAGGTGTTCGTTGATCACGAGACCGATCACAAATCGGTTCCCCAATATGAACGTCACGTATATCAGTAAAAGAATGTTTTCCCAAATGTATTGAGATGTTATTCACAAAAGGGATATATGTTTAATATCGTGCATATGAGAAATCATCGAACGAGTTAAATGAGGATTATTACGTTGGTGGAATGTTCAAGTCAAACTCGAATCTAGCAACACAATAATGTCTTGGCATCTAAGACGATAATCCACCCAAATCATTCTGTGTACCGTGTATGCTTAACAAATTGAAGTCGTTTCTTAAATTTACAGTCGG